CCCACTAGGGAAGTCCAGCATCAGAATCAACAGACTGTCCTCTGCGCGCAGTTTGCGCGAGTCCCACAGACTGTCCTCTGCGCGCAGTTTGCGCGAGTCCCACAGACTGTCCTCTGCGCGCAGTTTGCGGGAGTCCCGGGGGCCCGGCCTTTCGCCGCTCTCCCCAGACTCCACCTCACAGCCCTGTCTCCCTCTGCCTGAGCCTGGGTCCCCAGGGATTGACCCAGAACTGGGGTTCGGAGCAGACCGGACTGAGGCTCACCGCCGCCGGAGGCCTTGTTTCTTCCGGCTAGGGCAACCCAGCATCAGAGTCAACATTCAGTCCTCTGAGCGCATTGCGCGCGACTCCAGGGGCCCTGCCTTTCGCCGTTTTTCCGCCTCACGGCCCTGTCTCCTCCCACCGGAGCCTGGGTCCCCAGGGTCTGGCCCATAACTGGGGCTCAGCGCTGCCGGTTCCTCAGGCTGGGGGTTTTATTTCCTTCCTGCTAGGGAAGGAAAGGCAGCTCCCCGCCCTCTCCTCCTCTCTGGCTGCGACCTCTCCGTGCGCGTGCGCGTGCGCGTGCGGGCGGGCAGGCGCGCGCAGCATGTCTCCGTACCTTAGGCTTTTTTTCAGCTCCTCTGATTTTCTTTCTGGTTTTCTCTTTCCTTCTTGTTGTAGAAATTTCAGTCAGTCGACTACCTGTAGCTCTGGGCAATGTCCACTCTACATTTTAGTTGTATTCCATTGAAATTGTTGTGTGCTGCCGCGGCTAGATGTCTACCCGAGCAGCCATCTTGGATCCTCTAGAAGTTCTTGATTAACCTTATAACTGTGGTTTTGAACTCTATATCCAATAGTTCCTCCATTTCTTTAATTTGTGATCTGTTTCTTTGTCTTTGAATTTTGGCTGCTTCCCTGTGTTAATGGAGTGGTTTTGTGTGGTAGGTGTTCTCTAGGGCCCAGTGGCTTAGCTTTCCCAATCACCTGAGGTGCACATTCTTGGTGTACGCCTTTGTGGGCTCTGTGCAAGGTCTTGTTGTAGATGAGCCTTGATTACTGTTTGTATCACTAGGAGGAATTGACCTCCAGGTAAGTTGTCTGTGAGGACATGCTGTGTTTGTAATGGAAGAACTGCTGTGCTGGAGACACCCTTATGGGGCAAAACTTGCTTCAGGGGTTTGGTGATCACTGAGTCTGCCTCTTGAGTGTGTCACTTATGGATGTGAGGAGTTCAAATCTGGTATTGTCTCACATGATGACTAGATACACTGGCTCCTGGATCACCAAGGAGGTGCAAAGTCAGCCACTGCCTGAGGCCTTCCCCTCCCTGCCTTCCTGTAGGAGCTACAGTGAGATCTGAAAAGTTCTCCTCTTTGTTTGGGGTTTGGAAGTTTTGGAGCTCTCTGACCTAGTTTCAGTTTGTTAGGTTAGGCTGTGAAAGGACAGGTCATTCATATGCAAAAGTTGCTGCCTATAGCTTGGGTGGGGTTGTAAATTGGGTAGGGTGGGGTCTCAGGTAATCATCAGGGCTGAGCAAACAGAGATGGCTGCCAATCAGCCTTCTCCACTTCCCTTCTTCCTGCACTCCCATGCAGTAACAATGATTCCTGTGAGCACCTCTGTGAAAAAGCCACCCTCGCTTTCAGACCCAATGCCAGATAGTCCAGTTTTTCCCCATAGGAGTCCGGGTCCTCAGAGTCTCACTGGAACTAGAGTTCAGAGAAGTTGGAATCTTGTATCTCTCTTCCAATTGAATAAAAAACAGTGCACCCAGTTGCCAGCCTGACTCACGTGCCTCTGTATCTCTACTCCTCCGCACCTCTGCACTTCCTACCCAGTCTCAGTGAGCTTATTTCTTTCCTTCTGGTGTAGAACTTCTACTCAGCCAGCTTTTCCATGGTTTTGGGTGATAGTAGTTTTGACTTTTAGTTATAGTTTTGGTGTGGTTGTGAGGGGCAGCACATACAGGTATATTCCTTATGCCACCATCTTGGTTTCTCTGCAGTTATTTTCTAATTTCAAAGTATTATGTAAGCTAATATTCTTTGTATGATTTCAGTCTTCTAAAATTTGTTAAGGATAGGTTTGTGTCCCAACATATGGTCTATCCTTGAGACTGTTCCATGTGCTAAGATAAAAGCCTTTTTATAAATTGATTATGTCCATTAGGTCTAATGTATCATTTAAGGATATTTCTTTACCAATTTTCTGTTTGGATGATTAATCACAGCTGTCAGTAGAGTATTTAGGTCCTCTTCTGTTTTTATCAGTTTCTCTTTTTAGTTCTGTTAGCAGTTGCTTTATATATTTTGGTGCTCCTTATTGAGTATACATATATTGAGAAGTGTTATGGCTTCTTAGTGTAGTGTCCCCTGTATCATTATAAAATGTCCATCATTGTCTTTTATTACCTTTTTTATCTTGAAATCTATTTTGTCAGGTATAACTATGGTTACAACTGCTTTTTCTATGGACACTGTTTGCTTAGAGATTCATTTTTCACTTTGAATCTGTTTTTGTCTTTGCATCGTAGATGTGTGTCCTGAAGGCAGCGTGTGGTTTGATTTTGTTTTTGATCCAATATGCTATTACTTACCTAATTGGTGAATTAAGTCCATTTATATTATGGTATTTATTGATGTAGGAGGATTCCCTGTAATGATATTATCTTTTGTTTTCTGGTAGCTCTGTGCCTCCATTGGTTCTTATCCTTTGTGTTTCTGTTATTTTTCATACTTTATTCCTCTTCCCTATTTTTTAAGCTATGTATTTCAGTGTGTGTGTATTTACCATTAGGTTTATGAAAACGAAAGTTTTATATATAAAATAGTCCTTTTTTTAAATCCATTTGATCTCCATCCTTCTTTGCAAATCGAGACCTTTACCCCCTCTGTTTTTATGTTACTGTTATCACAGATTATTTGTTCATGTTGTAAGTTTGTTGATGATCTTACTCATAGAATTATGACCTTATGATCTTTGTTTCAGATAGAATAACCTCTTCAAGTAATTCCTACAATGGAGGTTTTCTGGTGATAAATTCCCTCAGCATCTGTACATCTGGAAAAGTATTTCTTTTTCATATTTGAAGGATAACTTTGCTGGATATATTATTCTAAGCTGGTAATTTCTCTCTTCAAGTAGTTTTAATATTCAGATCCACTTTTCTTCTGGCTTGTAGCATTTCTGTCGAGAAATATTATCATATCCTAATGGGCTTTACTTTATAGGTTACTTTTTTCTCTTCTCTGACTGCCTTGATAATTCTTTCTTTGTAATTAATTTTGGCAGTTTTAGTACAGTGTGCCTGGAGAAGGTATTTTTGGATTAAGGTAATTAGGTATTCTGTTTGTTTCATGGATTCAAGGAATTAGCTCTTTACATAGGTTTGGGAAGTTTACATCAACTGTTTGTTAGAATAGGTTCTCTGTTCCCTACTCCCTCTCTTTTTCTTCTGCTATGCATATTATTTCTGTATTGCTTTCTGATAGAGTCAGATAGTTCTTGTAGAATTTTGTTGTTGTTGTTGTTTTATGCTCAGGTCTCTCTCTTCTTCCCTCTGCATTATTTCTAGATTTCTATTTTTCAATATTACTAATCTTTCCCCATCTGGTCTCTCTACTTCCTATACTCTCTAGTTCATTCTTAATCTCTTTTATTGAGTTCTTCATCTTCAGAATTTGTATTTGGATCTTTTTTAAAGTTTCCACTCTTTGGTAAAGCACTTGTTTGTCTATTTGGTTTCTGATTTTATTAAACTGCCTCACTGTGTTTTCTTGAATCTTGAATTTTTCAAAACGACAATCTTGAATCCTCTGTCATTTAAATAACATATTTCTATATCTTTAAGTTTTTCTTGAGATTTTCCATATTCTTTCTGAGTTGTCTTATAACCTTGGCTATTTATGTAGTTGATGAGCTCCTTCTCTGTCTAGGCATTTATATATGATTGGCATGTTTCTAATAGATTGGTAAGAAGTATTTTTATTGTTTTCCAGTAGGTTTTTTGTTTTGTTTTGTTTTTTTGTTTTTGTTTTTTTTAGCTCTCTTGCACTTCTCTGGTTTTTCTTATTTCTGTGGTGATGGTAGAAAATGGCCTTTGTTCCCTGAGAAGGTGGGCGCTTTCCCTGTGATCCAGTCACCCAGGTCTCAGGAGACTAATCTTATGGGGAACATGGTGCATAATGTGGCTCCAAATTTGTGAAATCTCAGTGCTGTCTCCCTTGGCCATACATTGTTGGCAGTGCAGCTTCATTGTGCAGTTGTGGGGTGGGCTAGAGGAACCAGGCTACCTTCTTTGTTGCTTTGCACTCTAAGCAATGACAACTAGTGGACCTTTGTGGCATTCCCCTGAAGTTCCACCCAATCCTGACATTAGTAGCAATGAAAGAGTATTTCTGTAGTACAAGTTCTCAGGTTTGCAGAAAATGTTCTCTGCAACCCTATATGAAGGGTGAGGGGAGGCGAGCTTTTGGTGGTTAAGGGAAAGCGGCCAGGATCCATTACCAAATAACTGAGGCTTTACTTGTGTGTTTCATCCCTGCCCAGGTCACTGGACTCACATGCAGCTTATACTAACCACTCCTGCAGGAATGCTGACTATATCTCTTTCCTCCTCCGGGTTGAAGAGAGTGCCATTCATAACCTGATTCCTCTTCTTTCTGGGCTGAGCCCTGCAGTGAGCTTCTGGCTGAAAGTCAGAGTCCATGGCTACTTGATCTCTTCTCACTTCTTGCTTCCCGGGTTCATCCCCACTTGCTCATTGTGCAGAGTTTGTGAGTTGAGCAGAGAATCCTTTGTTGAATTATAACTGTTCAAATTGTTGAAATTTCAAGGGAAGAGACCAAGGGGATCTCTCATGCTGCCATTCCTCTGATGTCACTGAGATGAGAAATAGATTTTTAAATGTCTTCATATAGGTGGTCACTTAGTCCAATGGCTCTATAGTTGAGTTTTGTTTTTTACATCATACATATCTGAGACTTATACCTGCTAACCATCTCTTCCTCATCTTTAACAGATTGCCAAAATCGAAAATATCAATCATTTGTGTGATTTGAGAGTTTTAAACCTTGCCAGGAACCTTTTAAGTCATGTTGATAATCTTAATGGGCTGGATTCACTAACTGAACTGAACTTGCGACACAATCAGATTACTTTTGTGGTAAGTATTAAAATGGAATCAATGTAAGATTCCTAGCTGTTCCTTTAGGGAAATGAAATAAATATTATAGCATTGATTTATGCAAAGTAAGCAACTAAGTTAATTATTTTTCTTCTGAACTTTATTTGCAGATATAATTATTAAGGTTTATAATTTTTTATTTTGGGAAGTATTTGTGTGTTTTTCTATTTTAAAATTTAATTATAAAATTACAAATAGAATAGAAATATTATCAGTAAATGAATCAGCTAGTGTAAATGTATACTGAATCCTTTCCTATTTTTTTCATGGGTATAGAATTCATTTGAAAGAAGTTTATTAATGATTGAATGCTCATGGGTTATTGCAAAGGGAAATTTGGAGTTTTGGAGCTGTGAAGGCATGTATAAATATCATGTTCTTTGCAATTTTTATTTTTTTAAATCTATTCTTATTGATTTCAAAGAGAAAGGAAGTGGGAGAGATAAAAACATCAATGATGAGACAGAATCATTGATTGGCTGCCTCCTGCATGCTCCTTACTGGGGATTAAGCTTGCAACACAGGCATGTGCACTCACCGGGAATTGAACCGTGACCACTGTACAACACAGGCTGGGCTCGTTGCATTTTTTAAAGAGGCAGCTTGTATAGTGAAAAGAGGATTGCATAGTGCATCAGAGGCCTAGTTCTGGTCTGAGCTTTATCTTACATTACCTATGTGACCTTGGGCAAATCACTGTAACTGTGTAAGCCTCAGTTTACTTTTTCTTTTTTAATAAAGGCATTGGGCTAGAGTTTTCCTAGGGTCCTTTTTGGCTCTCTGATTCTGAAAGAAAAAAAAAAAAAGAAAAGAAAAGAAAAAAAAAAGACATAAAGATGTAAGAGAACTGGCATGTGAGCAGGAAAAAAAAGGTAAGCATTGTGGAGACAAAACTACAGAAAGGCGAACCTGGAACTCTGCAAAGAGACTGTCAGGTTATAGTTTTACTCAAGTTCAGCAACTAAATAATAGCTAACACTCAGGTGGGAATATTTAAAGAGCACTAGAAATACTGCTTTCAATTGTATGATATGTACAGGCAATGCAAACTGCTAATGATTAATAAAAACATTATTTGTTCTTTTAACAAGTTTTCATTGTTTACATGCAATAGAAAAACTGTGTTAGGTTCTCCCTCGAATATCATTTAAGCACTTTCAAAGGCACAATCTAAACTTTTTCAAGACATTGAGTTCCTTGGTAAATAAGTAAGTGTACCTTAAATAGTATCCTTGGAAAGGCTGGAGGACAGATAATGACTTATCTCTAGGTCTCATCGTACAGACTGGTTGCATTTTGAAGTTTTCCTAGGAAATCTGAGTCACATAATGCTCATATCTTTTTTGGATAATTTTAGAACCTTCTTCAAGACATGGATTTATTCCAGAGTCTCTAAATTCTGTCAGGCCCTCCCCCAGAATAGATTTAAATATTGGAAATGGCTTAGTTAAAAGAAAAACATACAGATTGAGTTTACCTGTTACATTGCTAAGTCTCTAGGAACTTTGCTGAGGCTTGCTGGACTTAGTCTGTCCTTAGGATATTGGATATGGTAAGAATCCAAAAAGTTTTGGTACAGTAGGGTACAGAAATATATTGGCTCTGGCATATTTCAGTCTATATTTTGTCTTTCTCTTGGAAAGTGCATTATGCATATCCTGGAAATTGCTTAAATTTCTCATTTAGTATCATGTCTAATTACTGTTATAGCCTGGGCAGCAGTAAACATCTTAGGGAAAAGGAAATTATATTACTTTCTAGAAGTTTAAAACATTATACATATAGTATCATTGTCAGGATATAAGTATGATGCATATTAATTTATAGGAAGTTGTGAGTATACATATAAGGATACATAAGAAACTTTACCCAACTCTTATTTTTTAAAGCATTTTTCTAAAAGAACTAAGAGACTTTTAAATCTGAAGATTCTTCCTCTCTACCCCCCACTTTATCTTCTTATTCCAGGGTCAGTTATTACACTTAAAGTTTTGCTTTTTCTTTTGTTGTTTTGATTTTTCTCAATGGCTGGTAATCCTTAAATGAAGATCATGTTAAGTAGTGGCTAGTTCTCTTGTGTAGCTTAATAGGCCTTTTAACCATAACATCTCTTCCTAGTATGATTACTAGATTTGTGAAAGCTGTTCAATTCCATACTGGCAGGCTTCACTTTTGAGTGAGTGGAAGGAAAAAGCAGACTTGCTCTGTAATTGCCAAAATAAGTAAGACTATTATTGTTGGGGGTAGGACTTTAATATCTTTTGTGCCAGGTGAAACTGCCATTCCTTTTCCACCTCTTTTCCTACTGTAGTGGTTATTAACCATCTCCATAGATAAAACACCTACACTTTCCATCCTTCCTTAACAAATACTCTTTATTTAGAGACCACATCTCAACTCTCCAACTAAGGGTTTCCTCAGCCAGCTGCTTTCAAGGTGATTGTGTGTGTGCATGGCTGGGGTAGAGGTGGGCTTGGCAGGGTGTATGGATTTGTTGGTACTTCTGGAATAGCTGTTGAGTAGACAGACCTTTAATTACACTTCCACTTGATTAGCCACAGTTAACCATCAGTCCACATCTGCGCTTTGTATGTACTGATTTGAATCATGGAGCATAATGGCATTCTGTCAGAAAGGATTGGTGTCTTTGCAATGCAGCAGCTCTGTTGTGAGTTGAGCTGAAGTTTTCTCTGTTCAAGATCATCTCCTGTTGCAGAAGACCAAAGAAATATCAGGCACGCTTCCTAGAGAAAGGGAGGGACCCTATTTACTAACACTAATGGACTCTGGGAATAATTTCCAAATCAGAGTGAAGAAACTGGCCAAAGGCTTCCCTTTTTATAACCTTCTGGGGTCTTTGTTTTGCAGATATGGTTACACCCCCTTTCTAGGGCCCCCAGGTGTTGGGGGTCCCCAGGCCATATCTGATGATCTGTCCTGGGGCCAGCCTCCCCTCCATACCCCTGAGGGCAGTGCATTGTTCGCAGTTTTTATGGCCTGTCAAGCCTTGCAAGACCATTTTCCTCCTCTGATATTATCCTCTCTGCTTTTAGCTCCCTGAAATTTATCAAATGTTGATCTGTTGTTGATAACTCTCTCTCTTTTTTAAAGTCACTTCCATGGATTTACTCATTTTGTGTTTGTTTGTTTTGTTTCATCCATTGAATTTTGAGAAGGACATGAAATAAATATACTACCTATTTCACCATCTTCTCAGAGATCTCATTTTTTGATGTAGAAAAGTTGTTAAATTTGCTAAATCTTTTTCTGGGAAATTTTAAAACACATGTCTTTTTAGTTTACATGGTATTTTCCCTTTTAAAACATTACAGGTATTCCTAAAAGAATAGAAAGTAATATTTCAACATTTGTGTATCCACCAATCAACTTAATAATTAAAACTGTTTCAAATAATAGTTGAGGTCTTCTGTGTATCTCTCCCCCATCACATTTTCTTCCTTTTTTGCAGAGATAACCCTATTGTGAATTTGGTGTTTATTCCCATTGTGAAAGAAAAGAGCCACATACTAACCTGACAAGCTCAGGGAAGGCCTACATGGCAGTTTTGCAAACCCAGAGACCTAAGATAACCACAAAAGATGGTTTGAAAATTAAATATCTAACAGGTTATAGTAGGTAGTCATGTTCTAGATATTTCACCTGACAAAGATCAACTTTGATCTATTTTTACTGAGCCCACTTTCCTTCCTGCATCTAAGATAACATATCCATGAGATGTCTGGGTAACTTGTACTTTCTTTTTACCCCAGACTCCTCAGGGCACAACAAATGGCCTCGAGACATTCCCTCATTGTTATTGTTATCAAGTTAATTGTCAACTGTTAATTACTTTAGAGTATCCTGTATCCATTTCCATAAAAGAAGTTCATGTCCATTATTTAACCTTTTACCCTATCCCAGAGGTTTCCCCACTTCGCTCTGTCCCACCTCCTTAATCTATCACCAATGAATTTCATGTAACTCACCTAAGTCCCTTTCCTTTGATTGCAATGTATAAATATAGAAACGTAACCCGCCTCCGGAGCCTTATCTCAATCCATTGAGGTTCTGCTTCCGGGCATATGTTGAGAGTTTGGCTCAAATAAACTAAAAAATAGTTCTTTACAGGTTTCAGTGTTCTTTCCTTAACACCAAGAATGTCTGTTTTTCTCCCATATCTGTATGTAACCCTAAATAATATGAAGTAATTCTTTTGCATGCTTTTAAATGTCCTATAAATGGTAGTGTATGTATCTTCTGTAAGTTGTTTTTATTACCATTATGTTTTGAGATTTATCTATGTTGATACCTGTAGTTCTGGTTTACTAATTTTCATCATTATATAGTACTATACTATATTATTGCAACTAAATAGTCATTCTTCTATTTATGAAAAATAATATTATTTTTAATATTTTGTTATTAAGAGTGATGCAGATAACTTTTTTTTTTCATGTATTTTTGTGTCTATAATAACACTGTCAATAGGTCAGTGGCTTTCAAACATTTTTAGCCATAATTTATGGCAATAAAACATTTATATTGAAACCCACTTACTTAATGCATATTTATGTGATTTCAGTATAAGTAATGGAGCAAGCATTTCATGAAACTATACCCTACCCTTACTGTAACCCATTCTAGTATATCCTATTTGATTCCATTATATTTCATTAAAAAATGTTAGTTTAAAAAAAATGTTGGTCTCAACCTACTGAATTGATTTGTTGACCACATGGGGTCAGCCAGCTTGTGTGTTGGAGTGATGATCAATCTGCATATTACTCTTTTATTAGATAGGATAGAGGCCTGGTGTATGGGTCGGGGCCAGCTGGTTTGCCCTGAAGGTTGTGCTGGATTAGGGTGGGGGTTCCCTTGGGGCGTGGTGTGGCCTGGGTGAGGGGCCTGTGGTGGTTTGCAGGCTGGCCATGTCTCTCTCCACAGCACCCCCCCCACCCCCTGCCTCCCAGGTGACCCAA